CTTTACACATTCTGCCCTGCCCCCTCCATGGACTAACTTTCCTCCTACCCCGTTCCCAGTCCTATTGCTCTTTATCCAGCCAAGGCCCATGTTTCATACTGTTTGTCCTCAGCTTAAACATCACCTCCCCAGAGATACCCATCCTGATCAACCATGGCTCCCATGTGTTACTATAGCACCCTGTGCTTACCACTTATTTTATTCCTTATCACTCAATATTTTAACTGTTAATCCAGCTCTTTCCTCAATGGGATCTGAAATGTGTAAGGAGGAAGCAGTGTATTTATTTTTTTTAATTTTTACTTTTTTTAATCCTCACCTGAGAATATGTTCATTGATTTTAGAGCGAGAGGAAGGGAGAAAAGGAGGGAGGGAGAGAAATAGAGAAACATTGATGTGAGAGAGAAAGATGGGTGGGTGCCTCCTGGGATGGAACCCCACAGTCTTTTGGTGTGCAGGATGACACTCCAACCAAGCCACCCAGCCAGGGCAAAGCGGTACTTTTAATAGTGTTTTCCTAGAGCCTATCACAGTGCATGGCTTGCTCTAGGTGCTCCACATACTTAAAGAATGGACAGTCCAGTCAATACAAATTTAACAAATGTCTACCCAGACACTGAACTAGGCACTGTACACTGTTGAACAAAACAGACCATCTCTAACCTTGCAGAGCTTACAACCTAATACGAAAATATAAACAAGTAAGCAAACCAAATCTAATCACAGTGAAATGTTCTATGAAGGAAATAAATGAGGGCACTTTTTAGGACAGTCAAGAAAGGGTCATCTAAGGAGAAGTTCACATTTTAAAGCTGAAAAGGAATAGGCTAAGCCCCTCTATTTTAGGGAGTGGGCCAACGAGTACGACGTGGGTGTTAGACGTCAGAAGTAAAATGCAACTAGACCTTCCGTAGGTTTCCGTCATACTCGGTGCCCCGAGGGCTTCTCTATCCCCGCCCCGTCGGGCTCTCTCTTAGGGCTCCGGTGTATCTCCCCCCACCCAACCCCCGCCACCTCCGACTCGCTCACCGCGTCTTGGTACCAACCGCCAGGGCTCCTCTCTATGCCCCGCCCCCTTCTTTGTCCGAGGTTTCTCCCTTAGGACTCCCTCCCTCTTCCTGGGCCCAGGTCTTGCCTCCGTGAAACCCCCATAAGTCGTCTGGTAGAACTCATCTTCCTCCTCTGCCTCCAGAAGCCCGGAAAGCCGGTTTCCCGCGGTCTTCCGTGGGGCCCGGCCCCCAGCCAAACTCATACCGCCTGCCGAGACCGCGCCGGCAACAGCGGCCCCTCACCCGGCACGGGAGCTCGGCGCTCGACACGACCGCCTGCGGGCGGAAGCCGGTCGTCGCCAGGCAGAAGCAGCAGAGCGTCGAGGGGCGCCTGGTCCCGCCCCGAGGCCGGCTTTGCTCTTCAGCTCCGCCCACTCCTGCCTGGTCCCGCCCCGAGGCGGGCTTTGCTCTTCAGCCCCGCCCACTCCTGCGCCCACACCAGCCTCAGGCTCCTAACTCGTGCACACCTGGGTTGTGGAGCCACTCCACACGGTGACGCTGCTCTACTACCTTAAGTCCAGAATTTAGGACTACAAATTTTCGTTTAGAAGAGGCCAGCCTCCCTCTGCTCCAGTCCGTGTTTCACTCTGCTACCGATAGGAATCTTTCTAAAAACCCAGACTTTCCCCCTCTTCTGCTTAAAAATCTTTAATGGCTTCCTATCATCTCCGGGATAAAGTCCAAAATCCTTGAGGTAAAATAGTAGTGTTGGTTAAGGGCAGGCTTAGAGCCAGCTAGACCTGAGGTGGAGTTTGAGCTTAGAGATTCTAGCTGTGTGATTTTGGACAGGTTGCTTTACCTCTCTGAATCTGTTTTCTCTTCTGAAGGTTGTTGAGAAGATTAAGAGAGATAATCCTTATAAACTGCTTCACATTGTATTGAGAACACACATAGATATTTAGTAGGTGATTACTACTATTAACATGGCGCTTAACAACCTTCATAGTTTAGCCTCTCCCTGCCTTTTTAGCCTCACCTATGCCACATCATTCTATTCCAGTATCACTTCCCTAACACCCACTTTTCTGTCATGCTTCCATGCTGTTCCTTCTCCGAGAACCCCTTTCCTTTCTTAACTACCTGGCAAAATTATAACTCTGTAGGACAATGAAGTCTTCCTGCACACCCATTCGGTTCTTCTTTTCATAGTCGTGGAAATAACGCCTTCTTGATTCTTTAGAATAGTTCCCATCTGAAATAGTCTGTGGTATTGTCAAGCCTTTATGTTAATGTTTATTCCAATTAAAAAATATATTTTTATTGATTTTTAGAGAGAGAGGAAGGGAAAAGGAGAGAGAGAGAAAGAAACATCCATGTGAGAGTGGAAAATCAATCGGCCACCTCCTGCATGCCCCCATGGGGGATCAAGCCCAAAGCTGGGGTTATGCCCCTACCAGGAATTGAACTGGCAACCTTTCCATGCATGAACTACACCCAGCCAACTGGGCCACAGTGGCCAGCGCGCTTCCCATTTTTTTTTATTCAGAAAATGAATAAAACCATATGTCAAACCATAGCACTTGTACATACTCTATGATGGCACCTATTACATTTTATTCTAATGATTTATGTGTCTGTCTTTCTCATTAGTCTGTGGTCTTTTTGAGGGCAGGAACTTTATCTGTGTATACCAATAAATCTCATAGTGTGTGGGACATTGTTGGGACTAAATAATGTTAATTCAGTGAATGAATTAATGAAAGACTAATTTAATGATTAGGTACCCATTCTCTTATTTTGCCTCTTTGTTGATCTTGTCAGCCCCTAGCCCCCCCTCCATTCTGACCTTAGGAACTATTTTAAGACATAAAGTTCACTTTAATAAGACTGTGTGTGTGTCCCTATTTTGAGATAACTGGATTGCCCCCCTTTTCCAAAGTCTATGTTGGTGAACTCCCTTTTCCATTTCCTTGGAGTCACCAAGCCAACATGTCCTGCTCTGCCCCTACTTCCACACCCTGTGACATCATGAGGTTCTGCTATGCCAGGAATGTTACTGGGCAAGAGTGGCTCCATGACTCAGAGCACATCAGCAATTGAGTGGGAGTGGGAGCAGAGACAACGTTTAGTGAAAAAAGATGGGAGGCACCACCAGCCAAACTTTTAAAATTTTACCTTTATCCATTCATATACTCAGGAGGCAGTTACTCTGTGCCAGGCACAATTCTAGATCCTTGAAATATAAAAATGAATAAGATGTAATCTTTGCCCTATATGTTCACAGTCTTATGAGGGAGATAAGTAAAGACACTGACATAATACAAGTAGCATTTTTGGTCCATAAAAGAGAAACAAAGACCCGAAAGAAGCTGCAAAATGCAGATCTCTTCTTTTGGGATGATTCATAGATCAGATCCCAAGGAGAAACCCCCTGTTTGACCAACCGCCATAGTGAGTCCATTATTGGTCCATTTCCAGTTTTCAAATCAGAAACAACTTTACCTTTACAGTTAATTTCTTTCTTTTTTTAACTTTTAAAACATTTATTGATTTTTAGAGAGAGAGAGAAGAAGGGGGAGAGAGAGAAACATCGATTTGTTTCACCTATTTGTGCATTCATTGGTTGATTCTTGTATGTGTTCGGTCAGGTGATGGAACCCCAAACCTTGGGGTATCAGGATTTGCTCTAACCAACCGAGTACCCAGCCAGGACTCTACAGCTGATTTCTAAAATAACTCAGGAAATGGTAGCAACTCCATGACTTTTATGGAAACAAAACTAATTTATTCAACAAATATTTATTGAATATCTATGAGCCAAATCCTATGCTAGATAGTGTAGGCCCACTTGTCTAGTTTTTGTACTATTTAGTTTGGTGGAGGGGGGTGGTGTAGGTATAGGCAATCATAAAATACTTCAATGCTACACAATTCCATTGCTATGGAATTACAAATGCAATCCGATCATTGGAAGTGTGTCTACCCTTCACTACCCAAAGGAGAATGAATAATCCAGCAGGTGGCAGCAGGGAAACAATTATTATACTACATCTTGATGAGGGAAAGAGAGAAGGCAGTAGTCAGTGTCTAGGGCTATTTTCTGGCCAGTGAGGTCCTAGGTTCCTTTTTGAGGACCCAGAAAGAGGCCGGGTAGAGAATAACCCGGCCATTTTGGGGGCTACCGAACCTAGGATTTTCTCCATTCCTCTTCACTTATTCATCCCACAAATAATTGTTGAGATCCTACTATATACAGAGTCACATCACCTGCGTAGCTTGAGGATACATGAGTGAACCAAACCCAGTGGTTGCTCTCCAGGAGTTCAGTCTCCCCAGGGAAAGAGGTCTTCAGAGTTCACAACCTCCAGGGTACTTTGTTAAAAATGAGCAGGGTTTGTACGAAGACTAGACTTCTGTGTGTCTCCATGCCCTTTGGAATATAGATAACAGAGAGGCTAAGGGCTTGGATCACGGGAAGACTATAATATGGTTTGATCACCTCCCTTTTTGACAGGTCTTCATTCACTTAAAAGATATTTCCTAAATTCTGTCACTGTGCCCAGCATTTGGCTTGAGGCAAAATGTGGGTCTGTTTCAAATGTCACTCGGAGGAAGACAAGACATGCATGCACCTTAAACTAAATAGTAAACAAGGCAGTAGAGCCGGAAGGATACTTGGTGGCATGTGATGTTTTGCGAATTTGACTGCTTAAAGTCTCTCACTTGACACTAGCGAGTCTGTCGGGAATTCTTCTCTAAGCTGTAAAAACTGAGAGGACCCGTTGAGCCAACTCCTAATAAGCATAGGCAACGCAACCCAGTTCTTTAAAAGAGCCGAACTAACTTGACCCCAGCGAGCCACCGTAGGGAGTGTTTGCCCCGGCGTGGAGTCGTTAGGCCGTGAGGGACCTGCATCATGTGACCAGGAACAGCCTCCCGATTGGCTTTGCTCCTCTCTGGGCTACTCCCCACCCCTATTGAGTGGGCTGGAACAAGAGGTTGGGCGCATGCGCAGTGCCTGGATTTCGCTGGCTGCCGGGAGTGGAACGGTGGGGTTGGCGATAAACAGGCTGTGGCTACGAGTAGGGGGAGGGGGCGTTCGCTCTGCCGGGACTCCTCACGCCCCCTTGTTGCTTTAAGTGTGGTTTGGTGCGGACGCGGGGTCCCGGCAGCCAGCTGGAGCCTATTCCATTGTGAAAGGGAAAAGCAGCTCCCGCGGAAAGCGGTTCAAGTTGCAGGGAGGGTACGAGACGTGGATTGTCCCCATGCCAGACAAGTGGTGCGGCCCTGAGCTGGTCCCGGAGCCTGCCCGACGTGTCTGAGAAAGGCCTCGGAGGGGCGGGAAGGTGACTGTCGGAACGCAGTTTTTGTGAAGACGGGAAGATTCGACTCGGAGAAGAGGAAGAGCCGGATTGAAAGGGAGTGAGGCCACTGAGGGGGAGGGGGCTGCCAAGATGGCGTCGGCCTCTGGGCCGTCGGCGGCCGGGTTTTCATCCGTGGATCCCGGGGGTCCTTCCTGCACCTCGTCCTCAGGTAATCAGGGCGGGGCGTGGACGGGGGGCTGATGGCGGCCGTGCGGTGGGAGCAAGAGCGAGACCTGGGAGGGCACCTGTAGCTGGGGATGTCCGAGGTTGCCGGTGAGGAAAACAGGGTTCTAAATAGGCTTTCCGAGTGGGCAGGGGGTTCTGAGGAAAAGACGGGTTGAACTGAGGAAAGGGAAGCTATCAAAAACGTTGTCTGTCTTGGAGGAGGCCGAGTTGAGGACTTGAAAGAAGTAGGGTCAGGAGGGGTGGAGATGGACAGTGGGGATAGGAGGGGAACAGCAGGGAAATCGAAGGGAGTAGAGAAAAGTAAAGTGAATGGAGGCCTTACAAATAGGAATTACTTAGTGAGAGAGGCAGGTAGAATCCCAGTTGGTTCTGGAGTTAATTGAAAATGTAGAAGAGAAGCCTTGGAATTGAAGAGTGATGGGGTGCTTCCGATCGCTGGGGGTTGAGGGAATTGGGAGTTTTGTTGGGGGTGGGAGTTGATGGAAACGTCTTTTTCCCTGGAGACTCCCCCTAATGCGTCATTCCTTCCCACTGCGTGCCCCCGCCCTCCCCCTCCTCTCCTCCCCCTCCTCCTCCTCTCCCCTCCGCCTCCCCCGCGGGCGCTCGCACGGACACATTTTATCAAACATCCTCCCTTGATGACTCCTAGCTCTAGACTGACCAACTTCGGGAAGGAATGGGCAGTATTGAAGGAAGACTGAAGAATGTGGAAAATTAGGGTTAAAATACCCAAAAAAATAGATGGAGAAGGTGGAGTGATGACGTGTGGAGTTGCAGTGGAGGCTGAGAGGGGTGATGTTGGTAATGAGGGGGGTTAGGGTTAGAGGCTCTGGGTGCTGGGGGGACGTTGCATAATAGGAAATGGGCTGGAAGAACGCTTAGGTGGCATCAGGAAAGCGGCCCTTGGAGAGGAGAGCCAGGCATATTGCTCAGAGCAGGGAGCAGCTATTGAAGATGGAGAAAAGCTGCAGATGGTGTGTGGGAGGGAAGATGGGTGGTGGTGTTGTGTGTGGGGGGGGAGCTTGAGTCAGAAACTGCTCTAGAGCTTCCATCAGAAACGTCTGCTGTTCCGTAGTGACTGTTGCCTCCGCACTGAACTGGATGGGCCACCAGAGGCTGGATGCTTTACTTGAGCTGTTGACGTTTCCTTAGACCGGAGATTGAGTTCTTGCCATTTTGAATTGGCTAAGTAGAGGGTTCCACCTTTCATATTCCAGCCCAGTTAATACTGGTCACAAATATCTTCTTCATAAGCTGCAGTTTTATTTATGTACATCTATTTTTAGTTTCTTGAGAGGTAATTTTTGCCTTTCTTGTAAAAGCATTAGAGAGCCAAAGCAACTCATGTTGCATCCAAGTGTGAAGAATGATAAAGTAAAAATGACAGGTATGTGTGTGTGTGTATATATATATACATACACACACACACACACACACACACACACTCTAGAGGCCCGGTGCATGAAATTCGTGCACGGGTAGGTCCCTAGGCTGGCCGCCCCCTGGTGGTCAGCCCACATCATAGCGAGAGGTTGAACTCCCAGTCTGTCGAATTCCTGAGGGGACAATTTGCATATTAGCCTTTTATTATATAAGATATATATATATATATATATATATAGTAGGCCCTTAATTTAAAACCTCTTTTCCCCCTCAGTCCAAGAAAGAAGAATGGTCATGTGTGGTCCTTAAACTTCTTACCTATTAAGTCAGGTATTTTCCTTAGAAACTGGGTTAATTTTTTTTGTTTTTTTTTTTAACCAGGTTAATCTTTTATTTTTATTTTTATTTTTTATTGATTTTTTACAGAGAGGAAGGGAGAGGGATAGAGAGTTAGAAACATCGGATCAGTTGCCTCCTGCACATGTCCTACTGGGGATGTGCCCGCAACCAAGGTACATGCCCTTGACCGGAATCAAACCTAGGACCTTTCAGTCCGCAGGCTGACGCTCTATCCACTGAGCCAAACCGGTGCTGGCAAACCAGGTTAATCTTAAAAGCCATGTGTTTATATCCCAGAATCTGACTCAGCTTCCAGCTCAGGGAAGTATTGTCCAGGTGGACAGATCTAGGAGTAAAAGGAAGTATTTCTTTGTCTTTTACTGATACATCTTCCTCCTCTTCCATCTCTACAACTTCAGATAGTCCTGTCTTTTTTATTTATTGTTTATTTACTTATTCATTGATTTTAGAGAGAGCGAGGAAGGGAGGAAGAGAGAAAAACATCAGTTTGTTGTTTCACTTATTTATACAGTCATTGGTTGATTCGTGTACGTACCCTGCCACGAATCAAACCCACAACGTTGGCATATCGGGATGGCACTCTACCTGGCCAGGGCAGTCCTGTCTTTTTTAGATGTCACTATTTGATATTTTTGTATGTTTTTTGCCAGATCCTAAGGCTTGCAGTTAGTAATTCAGATCGTATAAATGTTTTTTCCTATTGTGCTTTCACCAGAAAATCAAATACTAGGTTTCAAAACCTTGACTACTATGTTGATATCTGAAGTCAAGGTGTAAAAATGTCCAAAATAAATAACTTTAGAGTCCTTTTTTGTACTTTCATTGTTTACACCCACCTTCTCTGCTTCTTTGGTAAATATTGAAACAGTTGGATTAAGAAATTAAGAAAAATTCTGTTCATAAACATTCTTTTTTTAAAAAAATAATTTTTATTGATTTCAGAGAGGAAGGGAGAGAGAGATAGAAACATCAATGATGAGAGAGAATCATTGATCGGCTGCTTGCACGTCCTCTACTGGGGATTGATTGAGCCTGCAACCTGGGCATGTGTCCTTGGCTGGAATCGAACCCGGGACCCTTCAGTCCGCAGGCGGATGCTCTATCCACTGAGCCAAACCAGCTAGGGCACATAAACATTCTTGAAAACATTATGAGTTATTGTGTGCAAATTCGCAATGTTGATTTTTTGTTCTGCAACATTGCCTTTTGTGTATCTGCATTTTCACTTAGGTTTGGGCTTAGCAAATTTAATGTAATACAATATTTCATTTTAAGGATATGTTTTTGAAAAGTATAGGATGTTTGCCGAAACCTGTTTGGCTCACTGGATAGAGCGTCGGCCTGCGGACTCAAGGGTCCCAGGTTCGATTCTGGTCAAGGGCATGTACCTGTGTTGTGGGCACATCCCCGGTGGGGGATGTGCGGGAGGCGGCTAATCGATGTTTCTCTCTCGATGTTTCTGACTATCTCTCTCCCTTCCTCTCTGTAAAAAATCAATAAAAATATATTAAAAGAAAAAAAAAAGAAAAGTATAGGATGTTTGATTCTGATGCAAAAGAGGCTATAAGAATCAGTTTTATTTGTGATTAGAGGATAGTGGTGTTCTGGATGGTACCTGGAGAAATATAGGACATTGGCAGGAATAAGTGATGGCTTATGATTTCCTAAATTGTTAAAAGCTGGAAATTCAAAGAAAGAAAGAATGTGTGTGTGTGTGTGTGTGTGTGTGTGTGTGTGTGTGTGTGTTAACCATCCTAAAACCAATTTATTTTTCTAGATGCTTAGCTAAATTCACTTAAATTTTGGTGAAACTCTGAATTCTAAAACTAAAAGTAAGATTGCCTGGCAATGTTGAAAATGGATACAAAATAAGAATGTCAGGATTCAGGGCAGAATGATGTTTTAAATAAGCCACTCATAACCGTTGGAGGCTCAAAATCTGTTGGCCTTCAAATTAGGAAGGACAGGTGATTTAAAACAGTTGTTCCCTGCCAGTATTAACCCCTGTCTTGATTATTTTGCCATTAAGTCAGAGCTGGTCTTTTATGCTGACAAATGAAATGCCAAGGGTAGAGCAAACCATATGCTCTGAGTGATGTTTGACATCTTTTCCCATTGGTGTAATTACCATGTTTGGGTTTTGGGGGAAGCAGTTATAAATGAATATCAGCTTGCAGTAGCCATCAGCGTATTCTTGCTCTTAAACTTTGATTGTTAATAAAAGGTGATGCAGTTTGCCATCTAGTGTCAGCTGTTTGGAGAGTAAAAGAAATTTATTCCTTCTCTTCCTTTGTCCCCATACTCATTTGGACAGAGGTGGCACCACTTAAAAAATAAAATCAGCCCTGATAAAGTGCTGTTGACAGTGTGACCATCTAATTTGACTAGTCCATCAAAAACTTGAAATTCAGCCACTGAGTCCCCTTTTTACCGCCATAAAGGCAGTAAAGTATTTCTGTTTTTGTTTTTTTTTTAAAATATATTTTATTGATTTTTTACAGAGAGGAAGGGAGAGAGATAGAGAGCCAGAAACATCGATCAGCTGCCTCCTGCACATCTCCCACTGGGGATGTGCCCACAACCAAGGCACATGCCCTTGACCAGAATCGAACCTGGGACCCCCCAGTCCGCAGGCCGACGCCCTATCCACTGAGCCAAACCGGTTTAGGCTATTTCTGTTTTTGAGAATTGATTTGAAGTCAGTGGAGGAGTTAGAAAGTAAAGTTAGAATGCTAAGGTGTACAACTGCACCCCTGAAATAAGAGCTGTGTGATAAAATCACGTGACTCTCCAAGAAAAATAACTTGAAACCTTAGAAGATCATGAACTTCTAATTCCTTTTGATTCACACCAGAACATTTCTGAAATTATCATCCTTATGACATGATTTTATCATAAGCACAATGATTTGGAGATAATTTTACAGCTTCTTTCCTGACTTTTTCTTAACTACTGAGGGAAACCTCAGAGGACACAGGATTGAAGCATTTTTTAAAAAATATATATTTTATTGATTTTTTACAGAAAGGGAGGGAGAGGGACAGAGAGTTAGAAACATCGATGAGCTGCCTCCTGCACACTCCCCATTGGGAATGTGCCTGCAACCAAGGTACATGCCCTTGTCCAGAATCGAACCTGGGACCTTTGAGTCCGCAGGCTGATGCTCTATCCACTGAGCCAAACCAGTCAGGCAGGATTGAAGCATTTTTGCCTGGGACCTTGATTCTGGTGAGTTTGTTC